ACTCCCAAGTGGTGGGAGATAAGCCATTTGACCAACGTCATCACCGTGTGTGAAGACTAAACCTAAAAGAGAAGAAGAGTTTCTTAAGTCGTATCTTGTGGGATCTCTAATGTGTTGGAATAATGCTAGTCCAATCGAGGTTTCTAACAGTTTGCAGTCGGACGACGATATCGATGACCCTACTTCTAAGTTAACCCAGTTTATATATGGTGCATTAAAGCCGCCTACTACAAGGCTTTTACCGTTGTTACATCAGGACTTAAGTTTACTAAGGAGAACATCATCTGCTACACATTCTGGACTGCGATATACTACAACTAATTCAATATCTTGCCTTCGGCATTTCAACTTACATCTCACCAGTTCACATGTCCCTGAAACATGTGCTACTGCCTCAGCTAATCTTATGGTTGGGGTACTTTTCATGTACAGAATAACCCCGCCTCCCCTTCGGTTTAATCTATCAGCCCTACTGGTTAAAGAACCAGTCAGCTGGATTTCGCTGTCTACTACTTCTGACGTTAACCAAGTTTCCGAGACAGCAATAACGTCCGGTGTTTCTTTATCCACCACTGACTTGAGCTCCGCCATTTTATTTAGTAGTCTGCGAGCATTTGTGTAGCATACCTTTAAGTCTGTGGAGAGCTTTCCCTTGCCACCCAGAGTGGCTTGAGGATCGTTTTGCTCCGAACTTTTACAACTTGAAAACCTTAAGAGCGAGCTTTCTTTCACCGTTTCGGCGACGCTCGTTTAGTTCCGCTTCTGCAGCTCGTCTCTTAATACGATCATTAGGTTGAGATCCTCATGGACATATATTCCGGATCCAATGGGTTTACGTGAATTACTTAGAATCAGGTTCCTTTCATCCACCGTGTTGAATATAACCTTTAGGAGGTGATTTTTCTGAGGACTTTCTGAATCCACCTTTTTTCCTATTCTATAAAGCTTACAAATACTGACTCCTGAAACTATATCTGGGAGTGGTTTACTTAATGATGTCTTAATATGATTGAGATCATGTTCAAATCTTGCCTTTGGTTCTGTATCTGAAGATCCTCTTATCTTATGAAAAATGACTGATCTCTCAGAAAGATCTGCTTGTCACGCAGTGAGGAATTTTCATTTGATAACATCCCTTCCAATGCCTTGCTGGCGAGCTGCGTTTTGCCCACAGCCTTTTTTTCTTATTTTTTCTTCTTCTTACCGAAGTTCATTTGTCCCCACTCAGAACATCCACTCCTGGACTATATGGAACGGTGACAGTTTTATCCGGATCTTCTATTTCGACTAGAGGTGTATGACTGCCAATGTCAGTATCAAGCGACACTTCATTCTTCGTTAATGTCAACGGAGATTTCACGTTCCCGTCAACCGCAGTCAGGTGTTTAACGGGTCCAGTAGCAGCATCTACTACACTGATACATTCTTCATCGTCAGTGCTCCTGTTATCAGTGTTTCCGCCATCGTTTTTCTTGCAGGCTAAAGCCAATAGGCCCATAGCCTCCTGTATTAGTACCTTTTTCTCCGTACAGCAGAACATACAAAGCCAATGCGAGTTAGGCTTCGAGCATCTTTTGTATGCCATTGAATTTAGGCGTGTACACATTTTGCGGTACCACTTCTTACAATCGTCACACTGCATTCCCTCCTCAACGGAGAACAAACGATTTAGTTGCCCACATTTGTGAGTCTTACCAACCATTGTAATTAGATTTAAAAGGTTTAAAAACACAAAATGATCACAAAGTGAACACAGGTGTTAGTCAAGAAGTAAAAAATGGTACTCAGGACAAAATTTAGCAAAAAATTTCTAACTTTAACCAAAGTACTTTTAGTTAAAGTAGACCAAGAATGCATTTTAGTCCAATAAGTACCCAGAGCAAGTATAATCACAAGTACAAAAATCACTGCCCTTTTTGAAACTAGCGCATCGAGTATTTTTAAACAAAACATTTACAGTCAATAATGGTATTTACACAAAATATGCGAAATTAAGAAGAGAAGCGAATAATAACAAAAACTAATTGTCAAATAAGTTTGTTTGCTACTTCTTCAAGGTGAACCGGGTAGTGCTTTTTTTCAAAACGTCTACATTTTCTGACTTGTTTTCGCATCATAATGATACCTGATGTAAGTCTATGCATTTCGTTCATTTTCTGTATAAACCGTTTATTTTAACGTGACCGAACATCAGACAATGCTTCTGATGAATCAGGCAGAAGATTAGGGACACAGGAACAGTTAGGGAAGTATTCGTCACTCCGTAAGATATTTCTGACCTTATCAAAAGTATGGCGAGACTCTAATTTTCATTTGATTTATATTTCTCAAGGTCTAAAATGCAGAGCGATTTGTTCAGTAGTAGCCAACGTAGTTAGCATTTTTGGGCAATAGGTAGTTATTCTGATCGACGTGTCATGGTAATCAAGCTAGAGTGTAGTTACCAAAACAAGTGAGGTCAACGATATCGAAGACTTACGGAACTATTTGTTTTGGGGATTGATTCATCGTTACAGACACTCTAGAAATTAGATTAGACCTTTGAGATTGGGTTTTTTACATCTGTAAGTGACATTAATCAAGATGCTATTACCGTTTATAACCAATGTATGTGGATTGACTAAGACACTAAACTATGATTCCCTATTTAGCAGACTCCGGTCATCATTGCAGCTCATGTGGACGTAATTTATACGACACCCGACGCTAACCCTAACTGTCTCATCTCTGACTGCTGAGAAACATTCAGCTCAATACTTCAAAACCTTTTTCGGCGAGACTCTAATTTAGCGACGACCTTTGAACGAATCTTAAGTGACCTTCAGTCTTCAGTCTTAAGGATAGTAGGTTGATGAACCTGTGTTAATCCTGACACATTGCTTTCCAGTGAAGGTCCAGCTTTTCCTTGAAAGTATTCACTGATGGGGCTGATACCACTTGTTCGGGTAAGGCGTTCCAATCATTGACTACTCGATGAGAAAAACGGGATCCCACTTTAAGTTTATTAGATCGTGGTTTATGAACCTTCTTGCTATGACCTCGGAGATTATTAGTGCTGGAGGGAGCAAAAAGATAAGACATATTAACACCCAAATCATAATTAAAGATACGAAATGCCAGTATAAGGTCACCTCGTGTCCTACGATACGACAAGGGGAAAAGATTTAGGCGTTTTAAGCGCTCATCGTAAGGGAGACTAGAAAGACCCTTCACTAATTTCGTTCCCACACGCTGGACACGCTCAAGGGAGTTAGTATCCTTTACTAGACACGGGCTAGCTGCTTGGATACAGTACTCTAAATGTGGTCTAACATATATGGGGTATAAAATTCGAAACGTTTCCTCGTCAAAAGATTTGAACGCTCGGCGAAGTGACCATAACGCACGAAAACCTTTGACAGCGGCTGCTTTGCAATGCGCAGTTGTTTTTAAGTCATGACTTAATATTACTCCTAAGTCCTTATGCTCTTGAACGCATGGAAGAGGTTTACCCTCAATAGTGTAACGGTAACTATTACCGTGACCGACGTGCATTAGTACACTCTTCCTAGCATTAATTTCTAAGCCCCACTCTCGAGCCCATCTAACTAAATCGTCTAAATCAGCTTGAAGATCCACATGATCAGCCGCACTTTTTATTGTTCTCCAGATTTTTACATCATCTGCAAACAATAATGTCGACGACCTAAGTAACAGTGGTAACTCATTAACGTAGAGAAGGAAGAGCAGAGGGCCTAAGATGGTGCCTTGGGGTACACCACTTTTGACCGGCTTCCAATCGGATAGCGTTCCGTTGACCCTAACTCTCTGTCTGCGGTCACATAAGAAATTTCCTATCCACTCATGTACAGTACCTATTATTCCGAAGCTCGTGAGCTTCTGCATAAGACCTACGTGTGAAACCTTGTCAAACGCTTTGCTAAAATCTATGAATATCACGTCGACAGACAGACCGTGATCTAGGGCTGCTGTCCAATCCTCCCTCGCAATAAGCAAGTTAGTCAAGCATGAACGCTTGTTACGAAATCCGTGTTGCTCAGGAGCTAACAGATTGTGTAAATCTATGTGGCTTAGCAACCTAACCCGAATTATCTTTTCGAGTAACCTAACGACTATGCTAGTTAGACTGACAGGCCGGTAGTTAGATACTATCTGTCGCTGACCGTCCTTAAATATAGGACTAACTATAGCGTCCTTCCAATCTCTAGGGAGTTGGGCGAGTGAGAGGGACATGTTGAAGAGTGTCGCAAGCGGTTTCGAAATAATGTCCGCAAGAGATGACAGCAACCGTGGATGTAACCCGTCAGGGCCCGGTATCTTACCAGGTTTGAGGTTAGTTATCAACGGAAGGACAGTTTCCTCAGTTACCTGTACGGACCTTGACAATTATTAGCCAATCAGAAGACAGTTAGTATAAAGTGAGAATATATTGTAAGTAAGTTATGAATTACAGTGGATATTCTTCTTTTACATGATTTAAAAGCTTGATAAGGTTTGATAAAGCTTCAGAGGCTCTGAATTGATAATGAATATGGTATAGACACTGGTCTATAGGGTTAGTGGTTAGGGTTGTAGCCTGTCAATAAACACCTCTCTATAATCCGATCGCACGTTAGTACCTTAACCCTAATTCTAATCTAAGCCTAACCTTAACCCTAATCTAACCCTAACCCCAAACCTTAACCCTAAACCCTAACCTTAACCTAACCAAAAACCCGAATCTAACCCTAACACTAAACCCGAACCTTAACCTGACCCTAAACCCTAATCTAACCCTAACTCTAACCTTAACCTAACCCTAAACTTAACCTAACCCTAAACCCTAATCTAACCCTAACACTAAACCCAAACCTTAACCTAACCTAATCTAACCCTAACACTAAACCCAAATCTTAACCTAACCCTAATCTAACCCTAAACCCGAACCTTAACCCTAACCTTAACCTAACCCTTAACCCTAACCTTAACCTAACCCTTAACCCTAACCTTAACCTAACCCTAAACCCTAATCTAACCCTAACCCTTAACCCTAACCCCAAACCCTATGGACGAGTTTCTATACAATATGCATTATGAATTCAGGACTTCTGAGCCTTTATCAAACCTCAACAAGTTTTTAAATCATGTGAAAGAAGAATATCCACTATAATTCATTACATTCTTGTAATATATTTCTACTTTCTACTGTCTTCTGATTGGCTAATAACTGAAATTGCTCAAACGCTTTTCATTGGCTCGTCCCTAAATTAGAGTTTCGCCGTCCCATCTGTTTCAACCTCTCATTAATCACCTCCTCTCTAAAATCCGCTGTGAACCGACCGTATGTTAGCATCGCGTTTTGAACTTGGCTCCGTGACCTTGAAATTGCTCAAACGCTTCTGATTGGCTCGTCGCTAAATTAGAGTCTCGCCCCTTTTTCGTCTGTCTGTAGAAGCCATTTAAAATTCCTACCACTCATTTTTAATGTAATTGCCAGTAGTTAAGTACCTTCAGGCGTCTTTTAATTCTTATCCGATGTGCCCTTCATAGTGATAAGTTTATTTTATCCGTAGTTGAAAACCTTTTCAAGTAACCGTGCCTTTATTCGCTAATGTACATATCTTCGGTGGAGTAGCTATTGGTAGGTTTAAAAACAGCAATTTGTTATGAAAACTTTTGGCTTCTGTTAATTCTTTTTTGTCGGCTTTCCAATTCTACTGAAATTGGATACTGCCTCTGGGTTGTAGTTGAGCTCTTGTTCATTATACTTTCTTAATCATTATTCAAAATTTTTGGCTATGGGAACTACTATCACACGTAACCTGTTTCTTCTATCTTTCTAAGACATTTTAAGCATTGTATTTTGAATAAATTATCACTAATCATTAATTTCCGGTTGGTCGTTTTCAGAATTAAGCGACTTTTATTCTGAGTAATAGCTCTTAGTGATACTCGATTCTCAGTGTACCGTTACTTTGAAATATTTCACAGAATTAACCGTCAAAATATCAGTGGAAACAAATCTACTTGGCATTTTATCATATTGGCCAAAGCAAACTTCAGCATATTAGATATCATTTATCCACTTTCTAATCTTTTAGACAACTGTTTTACTATGAAATATCTACACGGTACTTTTATGATTAGTTGTATGTCAGTTCCCTCAAGTTTTTATAAATGTTAAGTTTATCACAGTTTTTACTGCTTAACATACTTCCTTTTGTTTTTAACAATGCCATAGCCATCCGAATTAGTTCACGGTAAATCAGTCGATATAGAAAAGCCTCGATATGATCAGTCCACATACATTGGCAGAGCCAAACACTTTTTTATTACAACTAATCCTTTGAACGCATTCAAAACATCTACTGAATTAGAAGAAGCAAGGACCATCGTTCATAATTATAGGTGAGTACTATGTGGTCATGTGTTGCATAAAATAATTACAGGATAGGGATTATTCAACCCGGTTTAACTGTAGAAAAGCTTTGGCAAGCAAAAAATGTGTACGACTCAGCGTTCCATCCAGACACAGGAGAAAAAATGATACTCATTGGACGCATGTCATTTCAAGTTCCTGGGAATATGTTTATAACGGGTTGTTTGCTACAGTTTTACAAGTGAGTAAATTAAACGTTTTAAAGCTTTTTAACAATAGCAAAGTATTTAGTGTGTTATTTAAGTTACATATACTAATTATTTTAGGATGTTGCTAGATTTTTAGGTTGTTCCATTTATCATTTTGGACCTTGGGCGTATGTTATGACTATAACGTCACATCAAGGCAAGTACTGATTGAAAGCGTACAACGAAGGTTTTAGTAACTAGAATCGGCGAATATCTCGAAGCTTACAAACTGAATTAAATTGTATCTATGACCATATGCTTGATTCTAGTAGCGCTTACTCTTTTGTATACAGTATCTGGGCAGTGTTGCAGAGAAAAAGTGACCGAATGTATACATCCATTTTTCATTAGTTCGTTTAAACAGCTGTTTCACAAGGAGATAGAGCGAAATAAACTTATCCATGAAATTATTTTTTGTTGCAAAAACGTCATAGGCTTTGTTGGCTAGTGTTTCAATATGTCAAGTCTCAGTTTGGTATAGAAATATCGTTAATAAAGTGACATACTACTGTGCAAAACCTTGCCGAAGATGATGAATTCGTAACTAACTGGGATTCCATCAGATTAAGATTAACGGCGTTGGATGCCGGCTCAATGGTTCAAGGGTTCGGTGTTCGCGCGCGAGATCGAAGGTCCTGGGTTCGTGGCTGCTCACTTCCCATACTAGGATAAAACGGTCAGGTTTTCAATAGTGGTCTAACATTGATCGATTCATGATTTCCGTTATTATTTATTTATTTATTTGGACACATGAATATTGGTACAAGAGAGCGCCAATATATATGCGCCACACAAAACAATGAAAATTCGAGAGGAATACAAAGAAAGAAAGAAAAAAAAAGCTAAGGAGCGCAACAAAAAAAGAGAGAACAATAACGAAGAGATTGGTGTAAGGTAATGTGCTAGTAATCAGGGAACGCAAAGGTACAATCGGAAGAAATCTTTCAGGTAAGGGAGACACAACCACTTTTTATGAAGAAAGTAAAAGAAGGTTACAGCAGGATCGCCACTGGCTTCTATTCTGAGCCATATCTGATAACGTCTCTAGCCACTGTGTAGCACCATCTCTCAGACCCCAACCAGGGAGTCGTGAAGGACCAACACAAGCCAGTCCTTTGCAGCTTTCTTTCATGCCACGACACCATGTCATGCACTGACCACCTCTCCGCTTCTTCCAACCAGTCCCAGAGTCGGCAAATAATGCACGACGTGGAATTCTCTGGGACGACATTCGGAGAACATGTCCAAGCCACCGAAGTCGGTGTTTCAAGATGGTGACACCAATTGAATTATCATCTCTGTGCCCGAACACACGATGCCGAACCTCTGCATTACTGACATGGTGTTGCCACTGAATGTCAGCAATCCTTCGGAGACAGCGATGATCGAACACAGAGAGTCGTCTAACGTCCTCAACTCGGAGAGGCCAGGTTTCACAAGCATAGAGCAAAACTGCTCTCACCGACGCGTTGTAGATCCGACCTTTTACAGCCAGACTAACATCACGAAGGCGCCAAAGGTGGCCCAGATTGGCATAAGCCGCTCTGGCTTTCACTATACGTGCATTGATCTCATCACTCACACCCCCACCAGCACTTATGCAGCTACCCAGATACACGAACTTCTCGACTACGTCTATCTGCTCACCATCCAGGGTGAGTACAGGATTGGAATCCTGCCAGTCTTGTAGAAGTACTTTGCACTTCGAAGGTGCAAAGCACATACCATACCTACGGACACTGATTGCCAACTGATTAAGTGCGGATTGCATGCCTTGGGCATTATCGCACAGTAAGACAATATCGTCCGCATACTCAAGGTCGAGAAGTCTTTCTCCAGGCAACAGATCCACACCACCATTACTTACATTCATCAGAGCTGTTTCCAGAATGTCATCGATGGCAAAGTTGAAGAGGAATGGTGAGATTGGGCAACCCTGCCTAACCCCACTGCTCGAATGGAACAATGGAGAGAGGTGGTTGTATGCCCTCACTCTGCCTGAGGTGTTTTTATATAGGGCTTTTAGGATGTTAATAAACTTCTCAGGCACACCCTTCTTCAATAGACAATCCCAGAGAACAGTCCTGTCCAACGAATCGAAGGCAGCCCTGATGTCAAGAAACACTACGATTGTTGGCCTTTGAAAGTATGGCGGTGTTCTAACATTTGGCGGAGGGTGAAGATATGATCAATACATCCTCGACCAGAACGAAACCCAGCCTGCTCCTCGCGAGTCAATCTTTCTCGGGTTTTGAACAACCTACGAAGAATGACGGAAGCCAATAGCTTGGACGCAATCGGAAGTAAACTTATCCCCCGATAGTTGTTACAGGAACGACGTGAACCCTTTTTAAAGATAGGGACAACTATCGACTCATTCCATGACGTTGGTACACACTCTAGTTCCCAAACCTTTGTAAACAACGTCGTCAATTCCTTAGTCAAAAAGTCACCACCATCTTTAAAAAGAGCCGGAGGTAAGTCATCTGGGCCAGGTGATTTGTAACGCTTCAAGAGTTGGAGTTCCTTGCGGACTTCCTCCTCGTTTGGTGGATCAGTCGTCACCGGCCATGGAGGGCAGGACAGTCTGACCGATGTTGCCGGAGCAGCAGGCCAGTTGAACTGCCCTTCGAAAAATTCTGCCCATCGTCCAAGACGTCGATGGATGTTAGTGATTGGCATCCCATCATCCTCGCAGATTGTTTCACTCACACCAGACTTCTTGCTGCCAGTGGCTCGGATGAGCTGGAAGAGCTTCCGGTAGTTACCAGATGCAGCTGCTGCTTCCAGCTCATTAGCACGCTTCGACCACCAGGCTTCTCGGTCCTTACGCAAGCTTTGCCCAATTTCCTTACGTAACATCCTTCGTTTATGGTCAAACTCACGGTCACCCGGAGTAGACCGACGGGCTTCAATGAGTTGTAAGGAACCAGAAGAAACCCAGTGCTTAAAAGCGGGACGTTTCGCAAACCCACAACTGACTGTTCCCGCCATTTTCATGGCGTCATGCAATTGCAACCAATGCTCATCTATACTTTTCGGTGGAGTGGTAGCTAGCCTAGAGGCTAGCTCGGTTCGATACTTACTTGCAACAGAAGTTGCAACCAGCTTGCTAACATCAATCCGTTGATGGCGGTCACTTCGTTGTCCACTGAAAAGTAAGGCAAGATTGGCGCAGACCAAGGCATGGTCAGAGTCCAGATAGGTACTCCAAAAGGAGCGGCAGTCTTTTACACAACCACGCCAGCGGTAGCTGATCGCGATGTGATCAATCTGAGTCCAGGCTTGAGATGCAGAGGGAGGACGCCAGGTGGCACATCGGCGATGACTGTGCCGAAAGTTAGTGCTAGCCAGAAACAGGTTGTGGTCTGTGCAAGTTGCAGTAGACGGTCCCCGTTATCTGACCTGCGACCAACGAGTCCCCATCGGCCACCTAAACGACTCTCTTCTGTGCCTAGACGCCCGACCTGAGCATTCAAGTCTCCGGCTAGTACTACAATATCTGTCGAACGCACTTTCTGGAGAAGAACAGATAACTGGTGGTAAAACTCATCCTTGATTGCATCCGGGCTGCAATCTGTCGGGGCATAGGCGGAGATGACGAAAAGACATCGTTTCTCACGCCGATTTCTTCTCACTTTGATGGAACTTTCTAATCTAACAGCACATAACCGACTGTTAATGGGGATCCAATCGACTAGTGCTGCCTCAGCTCTAGCGCTTAGTGCGACACCAACGCCAGCAAGACCAGACGAAGATGCCACAGGGTCCCCGGATAAGCGCACGTAAAACAAGCTTTTCGAAGCGACAGATGGAGATCGAATTTGTAGTACTTCGCCAGAGTCTTGAATACGGGTCTCGGATAGACAACAAACATCAATATTAAGACTTTCCAAAGACATAGCCAGCCCTATCTGTTGTCCAACCTGCATAAGTGTGCGAACGTTGAAGGCAGCCAGTTTGAATGGTGCACGTGGTTTCAGAAAAACTGCTTCAGTACTCATATTCGATGGTAACATACAATTTTCAACCGGACAGTGACTCGAGAACGTTTAGATACAGTCGGATTTCCACCAAAGACGAGCCGCTGTATAAGTATAAAAGAGGGTGAATAATGTGGGAAATAATAATAATAATAATAATAATAATAATAATATAATAATAATAATAACGACAATAATAGTAATAATAATAGTATTAATAATGACAATAATAGTAATGATAATTATTTGAATCGACTGATTGTTTTTCGGAGCGATAAAAGTAGTTGCCAAAGACATAGAGTTCATCGTTTGTGTGTGGGCTGTGATACTGCCCGGGTGCCCAAACCGAAGCAGGTGGTTTTCTTAGGGGGCCACTCCCCGAGCCTTTGACCTAAAGGTCTAACCCACAAGGCAGTGGAGCATCGTAAGGAGATGCAAACCCATGGTAGCCGGTGACCAAAGATTGGTTCATACGCCATTTGTTCCCGCAGGATACTGGAGCCCATGTGCACCATTGGTTTGTGATCCGGTTAAAGCGCCGGACATTCGCTTTTCGTCCTCTCATTTTCGTAAACAACACCCCCGCCACGAGAAGGCAATGAGTAGGACTTCCCTGGCAGAGGCTGTATACGCGTGGCCGTGTGAGAGTATTTCGAGAGGGAGAGCGGACTCACCCCACTCTCGGCCGTACCAGGGCATTCGGTATTCGGTGAAACTGAACGATCTCTACGACCCTATACTTGTAAATTGAAACAGTTAAAATGTCCTACAATACTGTTTGTTTTATGTCTGCAGAACTTCATACCAGTTAGTTTTATCAATCCACCCAATGAAAAAAGCTGAAAAATCTGTTAAAAAATTTTCGGTCTGTCAGCTGTAGAATGTAATGGGTTTATTTATCTATCTTATTATTACTGCATTTAGGTCTACACCGGCTGTCATATTTTGGCAATGGTTTAACCAAACATTCAATGCTGTTGTAAATTATACTAATCGTAGTGGTGACGCACCTATTTCATTAACGTAAGTTTTATTGATCGTTTTTAAGCAAATCTATCAGTGTTTGTCATGAGTGCTTGCTGAAAATCACTCCGTCTATTTTACACATTATTAACTGTGGGAGGATTTTAGACTACAGAATAGATGTTTAATCTAACGTTTCTAATGTGATAAAAGCCGATTTAATAAATTTTCGACATCCTATTCTGATCCTTTTATTTCTAATATACTGACTTAACTTAAAATACGTATTTGAAAGCATACACCACTTAGGATTTGAACGTGATAGTTTGTAGTTGATTACCGCCCAGTCAAAATATACTTGTCCATTTGAATAGTAATTGCGGTTTTTCTTCGTGCTGTTCTATATAATTGGGTTAGCATTATGGTAGATTTCTGATCTGTCAATAGTAGATCATGTCGAGTTGTTCTATAGGTATCACCTAATCAAACTTCAAAAGAAATTTAGGTTCGATTATTTATACTTATTCATGTTAACGTAATTAACCAGGTATATCTGTTCCATGGGTTATATTAGTATTCTATGGAATTAATTGATTGTCTTTGTCCATCTTTTCTTGGTGATATCACCTAATAATCTAAGAACTAATGTACGTGTATCGCTATGACGTTGGTTCAACGAATTTGTTTGGCAGACGTCAATCAGCACCAAGAACTAAAGTCTATAAATTTTTACTACAGTATGATCGATAAAAAGACTTCCTACAATAAATTGATATATTAATGGTGTTTAAAAAACAATGCTAAATTTTTACTTTGCAAAGTAGTATTGAGAGTGATGTTCGAGTGCTCCTTGACTTACGGTATTATCTAACACTAGAATGCCTGAAATGCCTAGGATAGATTTTCGAAGTTCCAAACATACTTATAAACTCAACTTTGTATACTCTTTTCACTACAGTAGTTGTCTAACTTATATTAGAGATATATAAGTAATAGAAACATATTTGTTTTATTTCATGCTTGCAACTATGTGAAGAAATTTAAACAGTTTAATTAAATTTGAATACCATGTGTAAATTTTCTGTATTTACACAATTAATGATAAATGTGACGAACTGACGTCAAACAAAATGAAATACCCATAGTTTCCAGGGTCAAGTTTAGTAACTTGGAGTTATTCTGGAATGACAGGGAAGTGATTAGATTTAAAGCCTTGATGCAATGAAAGTTGGGCATAATAATGCGTTTTTTTAATGTATAAAACATGTTGAGTTTTTCCTGCGTTATTTGAAATATACATCTTTAAGCTGTCTACTCAAATAATTTTATTTTCACCATGAGTAAAAGTTGCGACTACTTTCAGAAATTTTAGCATATGGTTACTTTTAACAGTAAAGTCTTGTCACCTTTATCACCACTATCTGAAATTTACAATAAAAATCCTGAATTTTAGTTATTTTCTGAGTATAAATAATGATATTTCAGTGGTAATGGGGATACAAAGTTTTATCCATTGTTTTGCCTACTACATCAGTCGGTTATATTTAATCACCATCTTTCCAGACATCTACTTCTGGTTAATCTGAAATTAGGTCGGTAAAAAGCTTAGAGTCAGTCGTGTTCAAACATAGCATCGATATTGGTGGGAGTCGACTTCTTAGTTGGATCTCGCACAATATCCGTAATCAATGACTGAAAATGTTAGTCGACACAGATTACTTCGATCCATTCTCTTTGTTCCTATCAGTTACAAGTTAAATGTCATTTCGAACCTTCTATCTTAAATGTGATGGCTTTTTTTATAAAATGATATCAGCTGAAAATCGGTTGAAAACAACAAAACCATTGGTTGACCGTTTCGTTTCACTCTTAGACTCCTTAACAAGATCGAATCCGGAAAGTTCATATTCTACTATTACTTTAGACCCTAATCCAACTACCTGTGTTTTCGATTGCACTTGGTTCACAAAACAGCGCAATCATCATCCAGTGTCGTCACTCGGTGGTTATCAACTTCACTGTTGAAACGGTTGACTTTACTGTTCGTGGCTGTCCTGTAGAATTTTAAGAAACCCACCTCAAAGCTATTGAATAGTAACTAAACCTTAGTCATTTAGTTAAGAAAGTTTTAAAGATTTACTCAGCTGGACTTTTTATCATGAACAGACATTTTCTATCTCCTATTTCAGAAAACGTTAACAAATGATAGGTGTGTTAATCTATTCAAATCGTATTATGAGTGGTTTGCAAAGTCCATTGAAGTCACCGACTAACCTTACTTTCGCTATTAACAAAAGCTAAAATGTACTAAACTGCTTTATCGTCCTACTACCGGACTCCTCGAGATCACTTATCCACAATCCCACCAGTGACAAAACCCAGTGCATTCAGTTCTCACGGTTGTGGCCGATGAAGTTCAACTATGTCATGCATGAAGCGGATACCCACCAATAGTATTGGAAGACAAATGCATAAACCTATCTCGTCCTAGTTATAGAATTTATGACTATATTTAGGACTATGACTATGTATAACTCCTACCAACTGATCCGTACTCTGTTACATAATTAATTCATCAAAAGTTTACCAAAATCTAAAACTTAAACAGCAAAAACCGATCTGTGTGTATATCTGTTTGTCTAGATTTCATCCAGACTCTAATTATAATTTTTTCTAAAAAATAACGAGATTTAACGGGTAGAAAAATTATCTGACCATTGGCCATTCCATAGACATTTCCTTAATGAACAGAATTATGATAATCCTTTTCTTTATGATCAATGACTTAGAGTTTTCTGTTACATTTTATTGTCATTGGTTAGTAAAAACTGGATATTCATTGGTAGAAAAGAAATGAGTAGATAGATGGTAGGAGTCCATTTTTGTCGTATTTAATCAGTAACACATACCATTCATAACCTTTCTAGTCAGTTAAACAAAAATCCTCAATACCATAACCCGTAGCTCTTGAATGCTCACTCATTTTAACAGGTCACAAAAAAATATTATTACGCGAAACATACGATTTCCCAGTATGGGGTTGTGGAGATTATTAAGTTTTTGATTTCGATCATGAATCGATTGATGTCAGAGTACCATTGAAGACGTGGAAGCATTGGATGGCCGTTTCGTCCTATTGTGGGACTCCTAAGCAGTGCGCATTCACGATCCCGCTCGCGGGATTTGAATCCAGGGTTTTCGGTCTTGCGCGCGAACGCTTCATGATCTCAGCCAAAAGCTTTATAATCTCCACAACTCCATACTGATAATTACCATGTGCTTACTAGTGAACAGCTTCGTGAGGGAATTCTCGAAGTTCTAGTGAGAAGCCGTGACCAGTGAATCTAATCCGTGTCAAGTAGAGACAGGTATCTACCCAGTGCATACGATTTCTATTTTTGTTTTATTGAGATTAATTAAAAATTCATTGATATTTGTCACCAAACGAAATAATTACATGAAAGTTAAGTAATTTCTATTGTTTCTTTGTAATACCCACTATTTTGGATAAAAAGAAGTATAACTTTACTGAACGCATATATCAATCTACAACGTTTTTTAGTACAGTTTTCTATTTGTTATATTACAGTTTTGTAAATCCATAAATTCCATAGATTGGATTTCATAACGTTAAACAAACTAAATAGTCTTCATTTTATTTAATGAAAATATATAGCTTAGATTATTGAAACATCTTTCTCTCTATATAGTAGAAATACCACATTTTCATTATTTTCATTATATTTGTGTATGGGCTGTGATACTGTCCGGATGCCCAAACCGAAGCAGGTGGCCTTCTTAGGAGGCCACACCCCGAGCCTTTGACCTAAAGGTCTAACCCACGAGGCAGTGGAGCATCGTGAGCAGATGCAGTCCCATTGTAGCCGGTGACCAACGATTGGTTCATACGCTATGTGCACCATTGGTTTGGGATCCGGTTAAAGCATCGGACATTCGCTTTTCGTCCTCTCATTTTCGTAAACAACACCCCTGCCACGAGAAGGCAGTGAGTAGGACTTCCCTGGCAGAGGCTGTATACGCGTGGTCGTGTGAGAGTATTTCGAGAGGGAGGGCGGACCCACCCCAATCTCGGCCATACCAGGACATAGTAGAAATACCACACTCAAATTTTGTAATAAATTCCTCATAAATAAAAAACAATTTCGATAATGAAATAAGAAGACAAAGATTATCAGAACTATGCGATAATATATTAGCGCAATACTTTTCGAACAATCTGATCATACATTACTTGTTATGAACATTTATATATATAAAAGAATAAATGGTCACCTAGACTAGAAATGGAAGGTAAGAGGAGACAAGGATAATAATAAGAGTAATAATAATAATGTAAACGCAATTTGAAACCTAAGCGCTTTGGTGAGAGACTACTATATTTCTTGTTAATCTCTTGAAAAATAATAAAGTCGTATTAAATAGAGTATCATTCCAAACCTACCTAGAAAAAGAACAACACTGAGTTTTTATTTGAACAACCAAACATTTTGTAATAAATAAATGTAATTCTTCGTCTCACGTTTCATTTGTAATCAATTTTAACTATGCATGTCCATTTACTTACTTACGCCTGTTATTCCACATGGAGGAGCATAGGTGGCCACTCACCAATATTCTATGTGTGTACGGTTAGCCTTGATTTTAATTAAAAATTTTGTCTACTACATATTAATTTCAAATAAAATTGTCTTGAAAAAAACTTTTAATTCGATTGTTAGTATGTTTTTTTTACGCTACCAGGTCAAACAATACAACTTTTATTCTTTTTCAACATAAAAGGTGTATACATAGATTGGTTCTTACAAATAATAAAACGTTGACAAGTTAAAGTGTTTAGTATTATACAACACAATTGACCGAGTAAACAATTTTTTTTATTTGATATTTCCATTGCTAGTAAATATCGAAAATTTGATCATGTCTAGTTTGTAAACTTGAATATAGTATATATATATATATATATATATATATATATATATATATATATATATATATATATATATATAGTGATAATTAGCCCAGTGATTGAATTTACAATCGATGGATCACTGAGTAGTAAGCAGTATCTACTTACTTAGTCTTTCAGTGCTTATCGAATTTTATTCATCAAGTTATGATGTAATTATCAGTTTGAGTAAATTGATGATACCATATGCACTACATTGGGATGTATAGGTAATTATAAGTAATCTATAGGATTTGTTAACTCTTCTGTCTTCCTTCTTGCTTTTGCTCAATAATGAAACTTGAACTGTAATTTTCATGTTAGTAGGACAAATATAAATCAGGTCAAATTACTGAATTATATCAACCTAAGAAAAGATATATACAATGTTAATAGTAAAATCAAAGTACTCGTACTATCACTGATAATTCGAATAAAACTAACATAAAGAGTATGTTACCAAGAGACGAAATGTACTACAACTTATTTGTTTATTTATTTGAACACAAATATTTGTACAAGAGGGCTCCAGAATATATATGCGCCACACAATAAAAATGTGATTGTGAAGAGATAGAGAAAGGAGGGTAGGTATAATAAAAGAAGTACAAAATTGACATATTGTAAACGAGTGAAATAATAATATTAATTGTCATAATGTGAGTAGTAGTTCAGTTAAGAAAAATATAACTGGGAAGAATATTTGTATTTAAAGAAGTTACTCTCACTTTTCTAAAGAAAGTAAACGGAAGTTACAACAGGATGGCTCCTGGGATGATGTTCCTAATACTCATTTAATCCCCCGATGTCGGTGTATCATAATGGTGACACCAGTTGATTATCGTCTCTGTACCCGAACACATTACAATTAAAACTGAAGGTAGTGATGAGGATAAAGGAAATGAACTCATTTGTATCATTATTACTGATTTTTAGCCATTTTACCTAGGATTTGGAACCATTGTTCACGATTATCGTGTAAATCACAAACAGTTAGTCTGCATCTATTAGCACCGTTTTGAGTTCAAATATTTTCAATGTAAGTAATATAGTTAACCAGTGTGATCTGTAATACTCCTGATTATATTGCGCAAAAGTTTAATTTAGTGTTTTTCATGTTTGTGAGACGGCTTTTAAAAATATTGAGTATTCATAGTATTCGATTATAGATGCTTTCGAAGCATTGCCCGTGTATTTTAGGACCATGGTGTGAGCAATACAAAGGTAAGGTATATGCTATTTAACAACTTGAGCTTGTGAATCTTCATCTACTGAAATAGTTAATATGTGTATCACGCACAATCACCCCCGTCTTTGATGCATTATGTTTGCTGGTATAAGAGTAGATTAGAAGTGAGCTAGGGATAGGGCTAAACCAATACTAACCACTAGTCTGTAAAGCCATCGTCTGTTGAGATGACGCGTGTTGGTGGCGGCAAACTATTTTTTGAGGTCCGCGCGGTTACTCTAACCAAGTAGTCCAAGACGTTGGTTGACATGTTTCGGAATCGATCACAGTAGCATAAATACATTCACGCTTTGTCTTAAAGTGGTAATGTTTTCTACTACCACTGGTACTATCGCTACTTCTACTTTGTCTCTTTTTATTCTGTTGTGCTGATATATACTGTGTGGCGGCTTGAATAAATGTGGCAGGTTCTACTTCTATTTACTAACTGACCGATAATTTTGAACGGACATTTATTCTAGTGGTGTATACTGATGAATAAATCTATTTTTGGAAAATATTTATCAAAATTATATCACACTCTTCCATTTCTTTTCTTAAGGTTTTAGATAACAAACAAATTACACTGACATTTTAACGCATATGATATGTAATTGTATAATTAATATGACCAACTGTATTGATTTTAAGTAAAACTATTGAAGCGTACTGTCACTGTCAGACCCTTAAAGTAGCTAATTAGAATGAAGGTAGTTATTCGTCATTAGTTTTTTTTTCGATAATTGGAATTATCCTAACGATGAACAAGATTACGAACGATATGAACAAACGATTTGTTGTAAATCATCCAAAAAGTAAATGATTTATGTGAATTAAAAAAAACCAAAAGACGCGTTGTCATCTTGTTGTAAATACCCCTAAATTTTGTTTGATCAGAGCTCGATCAACATCAAACAGGATAATGTCAAGTGTACCTCACTAAATTATTGACTTATTAGCAACAGATACATCTATATCGATAGATAGATTGTGTATGATCTGCTATATTGAAATAAATACTGAGAAAAATTAAACTTTTGGAACGGTCTTACCTAAAGTTATTGTTTACATTTCCATTGTATAATGGTTAATTGCTTCGCGCAGATGACATAGTCCTGTTTGATGAAGACAATGATAAAACACCGAGTCTTTTGGCAGCACTGAGGAACAATGCCAGGATGTTTTGGATGCTTTTGTGCCCATCTAAATACACACGCTCAGAAACTTTCCAGCTGATTAGATTACTATTTACATGTATTTAAAGGATCAGAGCAATTATAAGTGCAGAAAACCCATAGAAACTGTAGAAAAATCGATAAAGTACTATGCAAAGCCTTTGTATACAGTATACGATCCTATTCACCCTCTCTTTTCTATGTAGTTAACTTTGCATAAAAATACTAACTTTTATACTGATTGTTTTGTGTCATAAATTCGTTTAAGTATATTATGCTTTTTAAGTATCACCGTGACATTGTATTGTATGTATTATTCTTAGTTTGATTTATTGACGTATATAAGAATGTTATACTGAATGAAATGACTAAAAAGATGTTACCGTTATACTTGAAGACAAATTAAACTGTATTGTCGTATATTCAAAACTTACATTTGAACTTATTTGTTACCAATCCAACAAAATTATTGAGTTCAATAAAATATTTTATAGATAAACAAAAAAGAAGTTATTTTGCAAGTTATATACAATGAAATACTGTCTATTAATGAAAGACTTGTGTGTACGATTGTAAACATATCGCTTTTATTGATTAGAGTAAAAATCATGCATAAAATGTATCATTGTTTACTTAGACTTTAATATAAGATTATCCCTTTTTTCAATATTCAATAAGATTGCAACATCTAGCATTTTCGATTATCTTCCTTTCATTTAGTGAATGAATTCTGCATATAAATGCATACTCTTTTATTCTTACTGAGGATTTCATTCCAATCCTTTGAAACTATGTACATGTATGTTCTATGATTACGTCACTGTAGCGTAACTCAACTTTCCCAATAAAAAAATCAATCAAAGTGGAATTCAGAGCTTAAAATGAAATCCTCAGGGAAAATTATGCTTTTATATGTAGCGCTCGTTTAATAAATAGAAGGTAAAATGCCAGAAAATGTTTGATACTGTACACGCCTACAGTTTAGCTAGGGATTGAATATGTATATAAATTTGGGTTTTCGTTTCTTTATTCTGATTGTTTAGTTAAAGATTATTACAAATCATTGTTGTACTGTTAAAATTGACTAAAGAAATCATGACCGACAATATCTATAAATTATACAATTAATTCACCATACATTCTCAGAACCTTTTGAAGGAGTTTCGTTCTTTGAGCTGGATGGTTTAACCGTGCACATTTCATTGTTTTATTGAATAACATCATCAGCACAAACTTCTAGTACAAATTAGCTATTCAAATTTCTCCACATATAACTAACAATTTTGATCTTGATTGGCTGTCTTTGACCTTTAGCCTGTCGTTGTGTGCATATTTATTTTGATCATCTCCCTCTTTTACCATATGTAGAGGACATATCAGAATTTTTAATAAGGTTATTGAGGCCGTTTAAAATAGATGTAGTACATAAACTAACAAACTCACTTCAATCGATTTTGTGAAAATCAAAGAATAGAATGAAAAAGGGAGAAAAGCCAAAGGTCATCCACATGACAAACTTCTAACTGCAAAGAAGAATACATCGGATGAAGTGGCAGTCTTCTTCATCTTCTACATGGCATCAATTAACTGTTATACGCCATTCTGTACTAATGCACGTAGACAATTATGGAATCAAGTTGGAAAATATGTACGAATATAAAATCGAGAATTAGATCAAAGTTATATGTCGACAAATTCGAATAGTTCACTTCCACCTGAAGTTCATGCTAATGAAAACTCTACTGTTAAAGCATCCAGCTCAGAGAATGAAGCTCCATGAAGACAGATATATACCAATTCCTAAATGTTAAGAGTTCATCAGTACTAGGTTGTATGCCACTTGTCACTCGACAACAATATGGATATTTTAGTTTTAATGGAATCGAATTACCTATCTGACCTGGATGCTTAGATTTTATCATAAACGACCAAAGGAAAAATCTGGAAAGAGTGTTCACTTTAGAACACCAATCATAATAACTCCCTTCAACAAATCAAACAAAAAGTACAATAGACAAGCAATATCATGAGTAAGAGGTCATCAAGCTTAAAAAACGGAAGTCGACCAAAATCATCCTCCTTCCGTAATAAATCTTCTCCAACATTTCGTAATATTGGTAGGCAATAGATTACTCACTTTAATTCACTCATCTTAATACAAGTATTAGTTTTCACACCGAGACAATCTATGTACATATCTCCTTCATGTTCACTTTTTTTTCTGTTCCAACAGACGTCTTGGGATATCATATGTTTTGGCTACTGGTGGAGCATTAGGCACTGCATTAACTATCAATAAACAAGTTCAAGTAAATTATTTCTTTCCGCTATTTTAACTAGTAATTGTTTTTTGTTTTCTATTGGTTTCACTTACATATATATTTATTAACTAGTAGATATAATTCTATTTAATTATATGTAAGTAGATTTACTCTTATGTCATTGCATGTACACGTAATTATTAATTACGATGGCTAAAACATATGCTGACTGGTGATTGGGTTCAAGAGATATTTCCTGGAGTTCTAGTGAGAATCAGTGATCAGTGGAGTTCAACTGGGTCTGTTGTGAGATAGTAACTCACTGAAGACAACGATGGATTTGTCACTCAATTTTTTGGATTAGTTAAAGTTAGACATTAACACCATTGAATGCCGGCTGGCTCAGTGGTCTAGTGGTTAAGCGCTCGCGCAGGAGACCGATAGGTCCTAGGTTTGAATCTCGTGAGGCGGGGTCGTGGATGGGCACTGCTGAGGAGTGCCATAATAGGATGAAACGGCTACCCAGTGCTTCCAGGTTTTCCATGGTGGTTTAGCTTCATTTGACTCATGATCTCAACTATTAAAACATTTTAACTGTTTTATCAATATGAGTGGGATTGCAATAGTCTTGTGAATAATTATGTTTTAAGTCAATATTGAGAACTGTCATTTTTTAAAGTATAAACCATATTCTAACAGAAGTGAATCATCAAGGTGTATGTGATTAACAATCTACTCGTCAATTCATTATGAAGTCACATATTTCTTTTCCGATGGTTCTTTAATTTCCAGATGTTACTTCTATGAGTATTTATTTTTAACTAGATTCAATATGTACCATTGTCATAAATCATTCATCTTAAACAATGTTTTCTAAAGATCTTCCTTTATTCATATGAGATTGTTTGAAATGGATTATATTCCTATCAATTTTCATCAGATTAATATGTTTATCCAATTCAAAAACACACAGAAATAATTTCACTTCCTTATGTAACATTAGTGGCTATCAATTCGATGTATTTTCAACGCTTCTTTTGTTTAGGTAGCCTTTTTTGCTCGGGATCTAGAAAGTATGATTATATGCCTATATGTCTCTATCTCAGTCATTACTTACGCCTGTTACTTCTCGTGAAGGAACATAGGCCGCTCACCAGCATTCGCCATCCAACCCTGTCCTGGGCAATCATTTCCAGCTCCTTCCAGTTGTTATTCATCCTTTCCATATCTACTTTTATTTCCCGACGTAATGTGTTCTTTAGCCTTCCTCTTTTCTGCCTTCCTTCAGGATTCCAATTTAGGGCTTGTCTCGTGATGCAGTTTGACGATTTGAGTAGTGTATGTCCTATCCATTTCCATCGTGTTTTCCTAATTTCCTCTTCAGCTGGAAGCTGGTTTGTTCTCAGTCATAATAGATAATTTTATAAAATTTTATCTTCACATCTATTGTTACATTGTCTGTTAATAATTTGTTCATTCTATAATGAAACATTTACTTCACTCGTTATATACAAACAAAAGAACAAGTACACATACATGAGTCTTGATAGGTAATCAAAATGAGTGTATAAATATTTCAATAAACCCTTATTATTATTATTATTATTATTATTATTATTACTATTGTTACTACAACTACTACTGTTACTATTATTATTATAAATATCGTTGTATGACCCATAGATGTACTGTTCTAATCCTGTTTAGTAAACAGGGTATAACTGTATTGATTAATTAATTTTTATACGGCATATTAAATAGTTTTTGTAAAAATGTAGTGAATTTTGTCGTTATTATTATTATTATTATTATTATTATTATTATTATTATTATTATTATTATTATTATTAGTTGATTGTTCATATGAAATGATTTTTTTGAAAAAAAACATGATTATGTTCCACTTTCAACGATCTATTGCTTACATGAACTGAAAATTCAATACAATTTATGAATTAGCCTTTTATTTACAAATCATTTTATAATTGATAAATATTTACTAAATTAATCTAATTACACTATTCGTAGTTATAACTTTTGATGCTCGTTTATTCTATGATTTAATGAAAATCATAAGACATTAAAGTCAATTTTTTTAAATAACAAATCAGTATTTAAGTAATATAAAAGAGTGAGGACCGATAACGGTCAAGAGTAGAAGTTGGGTTTATAATAGGGGGGGAGAACATTTTGTAGTTATATTGATGAATAGTTGTGTGGATAGTCATTTGATTTCAATTCTAAAGAACATGTAAGTTACCTTGATTGCTTCGTCTCTAAAATATAACTTTATAATATAGAGATAATGTCTACTCTCCATATCATATACAATTCACAGAGATAGAATTAAGCATTTAATAAGTTTACGATCATCAGTTTTCTTCATGCATGACAAAAAATTTTCTCTTTCATTTTGGACATTTTCACTACGGCGTGCCTCAGAAGATAGTCAATATCATACAGAGTTCATATGATGGATTACACTGCAAAATCGTGCACAGAGGACAGTTAACAAAGTCGTTCGAAGTGAAGACCGGTGTCAGGCAAGGTTGCTTACTCTCACCCTTTCTCTTTCTTCTGGTGGTCGACTGGATCATGAAAACGTCAACATGTGAGGGGAAGAGCGGGATACAGTGGACAGCTAGGATACACCTGGACGATCTAGACTTCGCAGATGATCTGTCTCTTCTATCGCACACACAATAACAAATACATGAGAAGACGACCAGTGGAGCAGCAGTCTAAGCAGCAGTACATCTCAACATACAAAAACGGAAAAGCAAGATTCTCCGACACAACCCAACACGCACTAATCAAATCACACTTAATGGAAAAGCTTTGGAGGATGTAAAAACCTTTACATATTTGGGCAGCATCATTGATGAACAGGGAGGATCTGATGCAGATGTGAAGGCGCGGATCGGCAAAGCGAGAGCAGCATATCTACAATTGAAGACAATCTAGGACTCAAAACAACTGTCAACCAACACCAAGGTCAGAATTTTCAATGCAAATATCAAGACAGTTCTACTGTATGAGGCGGAAACTTGGAGAACTACAAAAGCCATCATCTAGAAGATACAAGTGTTTATTAACAGTTGTCTATACAAAAACTTCGGATCCGTTGACCAGACACTATCAGCAACAACCCATTGCGGGAGAGAACAAACCAGATCCCAGTGGAGGAAGATATCAGGAAGGAGTGCTGGAAATGGATAGGACAAACAAGGCAAGACCTCACTTTGAATCCTCAATGCCAAAGAGAAGAGGAAGACCAAAGAACACATTACGTCGAGAAATGGAGACAGACATGAGAAGGATGAACACAAATTGGACAACCGGAAAGAAAGGCCCATGACAGAGTGGGTTGGCGAATGCTGGTCGGCGGCCTATGCTCCATTGGGAGTAACGGGCGTAAGGAAGTAAGTATTCTGAACATTTTGAGCACCATACATAAGTGTTTCTACTACTCGTTATCCATGTAATGTCCAACCTTTGGTAGATTTACATTTGGCCTCAAGGTACCATGTGTGTTGGGGCAGTGTTGGAAGCAGTAGGTGAATGAATCTGAAAAGAAAAGAATAAGAAGAAAAGTAAACCGTCGATTTAGTAAACACATACTATGTAACTACACCCAGTAATGAAAGTAAGTTATAACAATCAATTAAAACAATCTGTAATCGAAACCAGTTGATAGCTTAAGGTTTCGAATGCTTTGCATACGTTGTATTTGAATTTCACGTCTAAACGTGGAAGTTACATTCTCGATTTTGATTGAGTCGTCCCTATACTGTACTTCTACCCATTACTAATTTTGTAATGGAATTTGGTTATTTGTTTGTTTCTTTTTCCTTTGATTTTCAAATAGATTTTCAGTGTTAATCACTGTTTATCTAAAATTCTGTCATAAAAGTGTATATTTTATTTTACAAATGAAATAGTCTTATAACGTTTATCGTTGAGTTATATATATATCAGTCATTATCTAAAGTTAAATATCCAAATTTTCAGTAAGTGGGAATCATATAGAGAATGATGTTGTTTTCTGGGAAAAATAAAAAGGATAAAGATTTAATTTCGATAGAGCTGCTGTTCTACTACAAACACTGTTTCATATTGTTGTGAATAAACAGGCTAATGGAGTTTGATGTGTTTTAGCAGATGACCAACTATCTCTGAAACTAGAATCTTCTTTTCATAAATTAAAATATGCACATATTCCGTGAGCACTTTTTTCTCTCTAAATTCCTTTTATTTGCTTTCTTTTTCAATTTTAGAAATTCCCTCCTATAATTGGTCGATTTGTACCATTTATTGCAGTCTCTGCAGCTAATTGTATTAATATTCCATGTATGAGAAGTGCAGAACTAACTGAAGGTACACCTATATTGGATGAAAATGGTGAGAAATTGGGTAAATCAACTGTTGTAGGACGTAGAGCTGTTAGTCAAGTGGTTTTATCAAGAATATTAATGGCTTCCCCTGGAATGAGTAAGTCATATAAAATAATATGATAGTTTTGTGTTGTGAGGATGTGTTTTGTCTATCACTAATTTAATTAGCACTCATCTCATTTTATCATTTCTTGCTTAATCCATACCAGTTTATACATTCCGTAGTCTTTCGATGAGCGTTTGGTCTCATTTTTAATTACAGTGTTATTTCTCTCATCCTATGTCATCAATATTTACTTCAATTATTAGTTTCAGAATTTTAATTGGCCTATATTTTATTTATTTATTTATTTATTTAAACACCTAAACATTGGTACAAGGAGGCATCAAATAGATATGCGCCACATAAATCATTCGATTTTCGTGAGGGCTGGGATGCTGCCTGGGTGCCAAAACTGAAGCTGATGGTTTTCTTAGGGAACCACACCCGGAACCTTCGACCTGAAGGTCTGACCCACAATGCAGTTGAGCAACTTTAGGAGATGCAGTCCCATGGTAGCCGATGACTAACGATTGGTTCATATGCCATTTGTTCCCTCGAGATCGCGGGCCCATGTGCACCACTGGTTTGGTATCAGGGTTTTCCAACTCCCCTAGGTGAACTCTCCATGTCCACCAGCCCGGTTAATGCGCCGGACATTCGCTTTTCGTCCTCTCAATTTCGCAAAACAACACCCCTGCCACGAGAAGGCAGTGAGTAGAAGTTACGTGACAGTGGCTGTATACGCATGGTCATGTGATAGCATTTGGAGAGGGAGAGCTGACTCTCCCACCTTAGGCCGTACCAGGGCATTCGAGGGCTTTATGTACACGTTGTTTGAGTTTTTAAATAAATATTTGAAGATAAACGACCAACATTAATCAATGATAATTACTGAATTAATAGAAACTGACATTTTTTTCTTTATATCTACTTACCTCAGCAATTTTGCCTTTTGTGATGCAATCATTGGAAAAACAAAAATTGCTTATTCGTTATCCTTGGTTGGGAGCTCCAATACAAATTAGCTTAGTCGGTTTAGTGTAAGTTGATTCACAGGTGTTGTAGTCGGCATTTTTTTCAAAGGTGTTAACGTTTTCAAATTATCTTTCTATCTTCTAATCAGTTAATTTTGACAACTTTACTTCTGAGAATTAAGGATTGTGTATTGTAGCATTAATTTGTGTAAACTGTTAGATTTTGTCAACGTAACCAGCTTTTCGATTGAAGATATGTTTTCCTGTCATTTCAACCATAGAAGTGTCATGTTTTAAGTTTACCAACCTCTGACATTCAATGGTTACTTCTTATAATGTTATATTTGAACGCTGTTCAATTTTACTCAGAGTTTTGGTTCTGATGTCGGCATCTTCAGGTGACTGCAAGCTGCATACAAAAACAAGACACTTCAACTGGTCTTCTGTCATTGATGATAATTTGAAACGCTCACACTCGCGGTTTACTATACCAGCGTATTGCACCCAGTCATCGTCTCCAGCTTTAGCCAACTTCAGACATTGGTAACGAATATTGAATAAAAATGACTGTTCACCAAAGATTTGTGACAAAGTTACAACCGTTGCATCAAATGAAGTGTCTCTGGGATTATTGAAGTGAATGAAGTTGGTGTAGCGTTCATTTTCAGCTGTGCCAAGTTTGCGTAGCAGTACTCTGACCTTTGCGATATCATCAAGTTTTTCTAGGTCGACCTTGAATACATATTCGTATTTCTTGAAGCACGATTCAAGTGTAACTCCAGCCAAATCATCGAAATGAAATTCATGGATAGAATTAATGATGTAGTTGACATGGGATTTGAACGGACCATCTGTAAGCTCCTTTTGATTTAGATTCATTTGCTGGGTTAGAGCTTCTAGAATACGAATCTGGAACTGTTCGAAACGTTTTTCTTGACGTTCCAGCAAGGCTTCATATTAGTCAAAGGTAAATGACATCTTGATAAGTTAACCCCGTCGCCAGTTGTTATATCTAGAAGCTTAGATATTTAATATACCGCATATGATTTGAGCATCTGAATGCTAGAATCTAAGTATACATAAAATTACGGGTTTTTATAGGTATTAGCGTTTGGTGAATCAACATTATAATTCGGCTAATCTGCAGAGAGGCATGTTATGCTACTGACCAGTGATAGCATGCCACGTTGACATTCTAGAAAGCTCCATTGCGTTCTGGCTGTATAGAACTCTTCGGCTCTTCAAGAGCCTCTGGAGGCTCCTTCATAGTTCTCGAAGGTCGTCCCAACATAAATCTTTATCAAAATTAAATTAGGTTCGCTAAGTTTTAAATTAGCATAAATGTCTCGTAATATAGATGGCCACATTAATCATAAACAGAAAAAAAGGCACTACAATGAAATCGAAAACCGATTTCATAAAATACAATCTGTAAACATTTGAAATAAGTTAGTTAGAACATGGAGAGAACACAGAACATATTTTGTTAATAAAAATTTATTAATGTTTAGTGGGGCCCTTTATTTTGTCATCATTTAGATCAGAAGATGTTGTCAACGGTTTCACCACTTTAGTGGCCCGTATCTGACTCCAATTTGATCGTATGAATGTTTTTTATTGAATGGTTGCTACCGAAATATGTATGTCGCCTACCGTCGTATATAACTATCGACTTAAATCGCGTTAGTCAATATCGGAATTAAATGAGTCAAATACGAGAATGAATTTCGAATACGTTGATGCAGACAAAATATCGGAGAAGAGAACGGAATAGAGCGAAGCGAAACGACGCGCAGTAGAGATGGCAGGTAACCAGCTCCATTCAGTCAAACGTCAATAAATATTTATAGTCACACAAAAATAAGTTACAGACATGTGATGAGTAATGGGATAAGAAGTGTACACACACATATATGCGCTCATATAAAAACAGTCAAAGTTGATAAGCGAATAATTAACAATGTCAAAATACGACTCAAGTAGAATGAATAGATTTTGGTGGAGTTTCGTTCTCTGAGCTGGATGGTTTGGACTTCTACCTGAAGTTTGTGCTGATGATGTCGTTCAGAAGAACGATAAAAGCCCCATGACCAAACCATCCAGCTCAGAGAACAAAACTTCACCAAAATCATCCACCTGAGCTACAAATCTTCTCCACCATCTCAGAATGAATAGATTGACATGTCCGAAAGCTAGCATAAGGGCTTAACATGGTTACCGACACTACAAATGTAATTGGACATTTTTAAAAAAAAATGTATTCTTCTTACTTACTTACTTACACCTGTTACTCCTCGTGAAGGAGCATAGGTCGCTCACCAGCATTCTCCATCCAACCCTGTCCTGGGCAATCCTTTCCAGCTCCTTCCAGTTGTAATTCATCCTTTTCATATCTGCTTCTATTATCCGACGTAATGTGTTCTTTGGCCTTCCTCTTTTCCGCTTCCCTTCAGGATTCCAAGTTAGGGCTTGCCTCGTGATGCAGTTTGACGATTTGCGTAATGTATGTCCTATCCATTTCCATCGTCTTTTCCTAATTTCTTCTTCAGCTGGAAGTTGGTTTGTTCTCTCCCACAGAAGGCTATTGCTGATGGTATCCGGCCAATGGATGTTGAGTATCTTGCGTAGACAGCTATTTATAAATACTTGTACTTTCTTGATTGTGGTTGTTGTAGTTCTCCAAGTTTCAGCTCCATACAGTAGAACTGCCTTGACGTTCGTATTGAAGATTCTCACTTTGATATTGGTTGAAAGTTGTTTTGAGTTCCATATGTTCTTCAATTGTAGGAATGCGACCCTTGCTTTGCCGATCCTCGCCTTTACGTCTGCATCTGAACCTCCTTGTTCATCGATGATGCTTCCCAGGTATGTGAAGGATTCTACATCTTCCAGAGTTTCGCCATCAAGAGTGATTGGATTGCTGTTCTCCGCTTTGAATTTGAGGACCTTGGTTTTCCCTTTGTGTATGCTGAGGCCTACTGATGCAGAGACTGCTGCTACACTGGCTGTCTTCATCTGCATTTGTTCGTGTGCATGCGATAGGAGGGCTAGGTCATCTGCGAAGTCCAAGTCGTCTAATTGATTTTGAGCTGTCCATTGTATTCGCCGTTTTTCCTCAGATGTCGAGGTCCACATAATCCAGTCGACCACCAGAAGAAAGATGAAGGGAGAGAGTGGACAGCCTTCTGTGACTCCGGTCCTTACTTGGAATGCATCTGTCAGCTATCCTCCATGCACGATTTTGCACTGTAGTCCGTCGTATGAGTTCCGGATAATATTGACAATCTTCTCAGGAACTCCGTAGTGTCGAAGAAGTTTCCATAATGTCCTCCTATCTACACTGTCGAATGCCTTTTCATAATCAATGAAGTTGATGTATAGTGACGAGTTCCACTCAACTGATTGTTCGACGATGATCCGTAGTGTTGCAATTTGGTCTGTGCACGACCGATCCTTACGGAATCCAGCTTGTTGATCTCGAAGTTGGGCGTCTACTGCATCCTTCATCCGGTTCAGCAACACTCTGTTGAAGACTTTCCCTGGTATTGACAGTAGTGTAATGCCTCTGTAGTTTTCACATTTGCTCAGATCTCCTTTCTTTGGAATCTTGATGAGGTGTCCTTCTTTCCAGTCCATCGGCACTTGTTCCTCCTCCCAAATCTTTTTGAATAGAAGGTAAAGCATGCTTGTGGTTACTTCGACGTCTGATTTCAGTGCTTCAGCTGGTATGTTGTCGGGTCCTGCTGCTTTCCCGTTCTTGATTTGTCTGACGGCCATTCTAATTTCTTCCGTCGTTGGTGGGTTGACATCTATAGGAAGATCTGTGTGTGCTGCTTCGATGTCCGGTGGATTCATTGGAGCCGGCCTATTCAGGAGTTCCTCGAAGTATTCTACCCATCTGTTCTACTGTTGTTGAATTTCAGTGATTGGCTTGCCTTCTTTGTCTTTGACCGGCCTCTCTGGTTTACTGTATTTCCCTGCTAGTTTCTTCGTTGTATCGTGAAGCTGTTTCATATTTCCTTCTCTAGCAGCTTTTTCTGCCGTCGTTGCTAGTTCTTCCACGTATTTCTTCTTGTCGGCTCTAATGCTCCTCTTCACTTGCTTGTTTGCTTCTATGTATTCAGCTTGTGCTTGGACTTTCTCTGCTCGTGTTCGGCTGTTGTTAATTGCTGCCTTCTTGTTCTTCCTTTCTTTGATCTTGTCCAGTGTTTCTATAGAGATCCATTCCTTATGATGGTGTTTCTTTAGGCCCAGAACCTCTTGACACGTTGAAGTTAATGCTTCCTTGATGCCTTTCCAGTTGTCCTCCATAGTAGTTTCTTCTTCCTTCAGTAGATCTTGTAAGGCTTGGAACCTGTTGTTGAGAGCTATCTTGAATTCATTGAGTTTGTCAGTATCTCGAAGGAAGGCTGTATTGAACCTTTGTAGTGCTGTTTGTCCACTTGTCCAGTTCTTTTTTAGCTTCAGTTTTAAATTGGCTACAACTAGGTGGTGATCTGAAGCTACGTCAGCACCTCTCCTGGTTCTCACATCTTCCATTGTCCTTCGGAATTTTTTGTTGATGCAAATATGATCTATCTGGTTCTCTGTAGTGTGGTCCGGTGAGATCCATGTAGCCTTGTGTATACGTTTGTGTGGAAATATTGTGCCTCCTATGACTAATTTGTTGAATGCACACAAATTTGCAAATCTTTCTCCATTTTCGTTTCTCTCTCCCAGTCCATGTCGTCCCATAATATCTTCATATCCGGTGTTGTCTATTCCGACTTTGGCATTTAGATCTCCCATCAGAATAGTGAGGTCCTTTCTTGGGCATTTCTCTATGATTGACTGCAGCCGCTCGTAGAATTGATCTTTAATGTCGTCGTTGCTATCATTGGTGGGTGCATAACATTGGATAATATTCATTGAGATCCCCTCCTTCTTTGTTTTGAATGATGCTTTGATGATTCTGGATCCGTGAGATTCCCATCCTACAAGTGCATTTCGTGCTACTTTGGACAGCATTAGAGCGACTCCCTGAGTGTGTGGAGCATTTTCCTCTTCGTGACCGGAGTATAGCAGCATCTCTCCCGTAGCTAGCCTTTTCTGTCCAGCTTGGGTCCAGTGGGTTTCGCTGATTCCCAGTACTGCTAAGTTGTATCTCCTCATTTCCATTGCTATTTGACTGGTCTTCCCGGTTTCCCACATTGTTCGAACGTTCCATGTACCTATAAAAATTTTTGCTCTGGTTGTTAGAAGGGGCATCGGCCTCGTGGCTTCCGAAGGAACTCGGCTTTCACCATGAAGCGTCATAATTCTTCTAAATGAAGACCTTCTAACTCTCAGGGCAGAGTTTAAATGGTTTGAATTATTTTTTCTGGTAAGCGTTTTTTTAGCGAGTTAGTTTTCTACGGGATGGGGACGCTAACCCCATGCCCAACCCTCCTCCTTTACCCGGGCTTGGGACCGGCAGTAACTCTAGAAGAGCTACAGGCGGAGATTATTTTTCATTGTACACAAAAAATTTAATTATGACTCGATAAACAATTTAATTGACAGCATCTTTATTCTACTTCTTCAATAAAAAAATATCCTATCACATTTTTTCTTTCAGGTTATCACTTGTAACACCTTTATGCTGTGCTGTATTCCCACAAATCAGTTCAATTCCATTTCATAAACTTGAACCTGATGTTCAAGCACATATTAAAGAAATTCGATCTGATCGGTTACCTTCAGTTGTTTATTATAACAAAGGCTTATAATTTGTTTTAAATAAACAAAAACAAAATAAATGAATGTTCGAATTAAATTCCACATCTGTAAGAAGAAAATTAATTTTATATGAATGTATTCCATTTATTCACAATTGCATTTTAGTTATCATTCTAATATTATTTTGTCAAATGATTTGTTAGATTTGAAATAGTCCATTTAGATGCAATGTATTTAATATACTTTTCTGGTGTAGAACAATTGATTTCATTCATTTAAACAATATTTCTACTTTTCTAACTATTTAGTAAGTGTTCGAAGTAATTGAATATACTGAAAAATTGTTTTATTCTTCTAAAGGTATGACGTTTTTAATTATTTGAATCACCAGGTTTCCTGGTGCTCTTCTAATAGTTATTGATATTATCATGTAGTCTGATACAATCCCAATTGTTGCTGCTACCTTGACGTGGTGATCGGGTTTCCTTATCGTATTGAACCAATCGAGTTATACTGACTGGAATAATTGTTCCTCAAGGTCTTACTATGCCAGGCAGGTCGATTGAGGAGTGGTAAGATTAAAAGCTGCAAACCCAAGGACCGAAGGAGAAGTCGTACTGCTGATTGTATAGGGATGTGAGAGCAGTAAGGTGTTTCCCTTAGACAGACAGCATAACAGGGATGCTGTCTTCCCACAAAGAAGGGATGGGGTTAGAAAATGTCGGCCCTAAAAATGCACACCTCGCCTTATCCCACGGATTTTCGTCTCCAGCGGCTAGGTTTCAACAAACACGGAGTTAACACAAAAAGGTGTGTGTGATCTGCCACAAGCAGTTGTTCCTTAGGCACTGCAGTCACGCTCTCAGGTCACTAAAACCAACTCTAACCCAATTTTCTTTTCAGGTACCTTCAGAAGAACCCTTCCATGGTGTGGGCAACCGGAAAGTGATAACTGCCTTCATACCTTTAACATCCCTCAAAATCACTGTATTCATATTCGATTCCCCCCTTTGGTACAATAATAAATGCATATTTTTCTGAACAGTAGTGGTCGACAACAAATATGTGTTCAACTCTCGTATTTTATCAAGGCATAGAAATGTCACACCGTAGCACTTTATCTGTAACAGAAAACAGTTATTACTGAACTCAAATGCAACTTGTTAAGTGTATTTTTAACTAGCCTTAAATTCTCATCGAAAGAACCTATGGTTTAATCAGATTGATATCATAGCAAAATAAACTATTCATCATTATTGGTACTCAAGTCGCGAAGCGTTGGAAACCAAATTCTGAACTTGAGCAATTTCTATACCATAGCTCATTAGCCTGATTAGGTCACTTCCTGTACTTATGTAATTTTTGTAACACCTTCATTAGTATTACAAACAAGAACAGAAATCGTGGCGTCCTGGTTGTTCTTCAGTAATGACTATGTGAAACCATATATAGTTTTCTAGACCTGTTTATAATCCACCAATCAATTTGACTAGGTCTCAATATGTTGGCGTTCTGACTGATAAGTGAACATCAGTTTGCCTAGTTATGATAACTGTCAGGTGTTTTATAAATATCAGCTGCGTACTGTATAGTTGGTTTTCTGATGTTGTTTTTCCTTCTCATATACATTGTGTGTTTATTCATTTCATCAACCTAGTTCGATCAACCTAGTATTACAAAATTCAATGACAAGCAAGTTTAAGCATTACAATCAATCCACATCAGGATCCTAAAACTCTATCTTCTGGTAATGTTATTCGTGGTGCTGACATAGATTGCTGTTGTCTTGTAAAATTTGTTGAAGTCCTTTTTGACAATTGTAAGACATCATAAGAAACGCTCATAATGCAGTCGTGTCAGCACAAAGACAGCATTTATTTGGTACTCAACATTTTTCTAAATTGCTGTCAAGTTTTATGCTTGGGAATCACACTCGTCCAATCATTATCAACTTTTAGGCGCTTAAGATTACCGAGATAAATAAATGCCTACGAAAGATTTTCCTTCCGACAACGATTTCCCAGACTCCCACATCTTGGATAACCAACCTCATCCTGTACAGATAAAAATATTGATTTCCACTACTAAGTTGGTATTTCCGACTGGTAGGTCGAAAGTTTGTATTCAACAGAATCTGACATTGATACACAAGTATTGAAAATTGTCTTCTGAGATGAGAATACAAACGCAAATGAAATTTTCATTGTTTTCCATGTAAAATCATTAATAAACTCCTTGGATGCTACTGAGTATCGAACTTGGCACGATTAGTTGGTGGGGGAAATATTGTAGCCAAAGACAGTCAGGCTTTATCACTGTTGACTCTAGTAATGGTAGATTTGAAATAAATTATAGATCTTATTTAAAGTCGTAAATATTCTTCTGACTAATCGCATGAACACAACGTGGAATCAAATGGTCGGACGTGAAGCTGCTTTTGATTACGCATATTTCAAACACATGCGTCACAAATAAACAGTAAGTCAATATGGAAATCGGGCTTTCGTCTAACGTCAGTGTGTAAAGTGAGTTGATTTTTGCAAGCCAAAAGTTTTGTAAGCTGAAGACAACTCACCGTATATATATAATTTATTTTAACACATAGATATTGGTACAAGGAGGCACCAAATATATATGCGCCTCACCATATTTGTGTTTGTGTGGGCTGTGATACTGCCCGGGTGCCCAAACCGAAGCAGGTGGTTTTCTTAGGGGGCCACACCCCGAGCCTTCCACCTGAAGGTCTGATCCAGAAGGCAGTGGAGCATCATTAGGAGATGCAGTCCCATTGTAGCCGGTGACCAACAATTGGTTCATACGCCACTTGTTCCCTCAGGATACTGGCGCCCATGTGCACCATTGGTTTGGGATCCGGTTAAAGCGCCGGACATTCGCTTTTCGTCCTCCCAATTTCGTAAACAACACCCTTGTCACGAGAAGGCAGTGAGTAGGACTTCCCTGACAGAGGCTATATACGCGTGGCCATTTTGAGAGGGAGAGTGGACTCTCGGCCGTACCAGAGCATTTGGGGGCTATATATATACGATTACGACACATGGAAATAGATAACAAGATATACATGTACACAAGGGGGCTGTCAAGTAACCATTCATATTTGAATGACACAGTTATAAACCAGACAAAAATAAGTTATTTTTTGTCACGATAAAAAATGACACAGAATGTCTGGCAAACTAATCCATGATATATCTCCGAGAAATTTACTTGACTTAGGCGATAGTATTTTCTGTCTTTTGAATACACTTTGTGAACTTGTAGTACAGGCTACTATGTTAAGCCTCCATTCTTTATTCACGTCTTGACCTTGTTAATTGTTCACCTACCAACACTGACTATATATGAACGTATGTGTGTGCACCTGTTATCACATGACTGTAATTTATTTTGTATGACTATAAATGTCAATTAACGCTTGATTGAATTGGCTCGCTCGCCTTCTCCAATGCTCACCATTTTAATTTGCTTCGCTTTCCAATCAACGACTGTATGAAATATACATAGTCGAAATCCATTCTCGCATTTGACTTATTTAATTCCGTTTTACACTAACGCGATAAAAGTCGATGATTATAAACTAGTATAGAAGACATGTATATTTTAATAACATTCATACGATTTAACTGGAGTCAGATCTCGGGTCAATAAAATGGTGAGTCCATCGACAACATCCTCTGATCTAATTGACGTCTAAATAAAGAGCCCCACAACTCTGCCATGAATGGAGGTCTTAAAATTAGCTTACTTTACGCTTATAGTTTTCAAAAATGATTTAATAATATGGGGGCTTATTATTATGTGCCACAGTTAGGAGTCCCTCAACTGATTTCGTTTTTACTAATAATTTTCCATACAGTTCATGAAATAATGCCCGGGTTTATTTCTAGCCTCTTCATTTATATATATTATTGAAATTTCAATGAGCGAAGTGTGGACATTAAAACGCTGCCAAAATATTTATAGTAAAAGGAGCATTTTATCCAGAAGCACTTATTACCATTCCATAGAGTTTGGAAGTTCCTTTCGAAATCATCTTTTGGTTAAGCATCATTTACTGTGACCGCTTTATGATCAGTGTCCTAGATCACTTTTCCAACTTTTCTTGATGCAAACTGGATGTATGAAGATTATACATTCATGAGTCGAATCGACAAAAAAGGGCATTTTTCTTTTGTCGAGTAATTGTGGTTGGGTTTTACAAGGCGGTCATAGCGTGAAGATTACCTTTTGAGTAAAAAATGTGCGATCATCATATTGTGGACACATTTAATAAAAGACAACCATCGAATTATTTAAGCCAGGAGGGTTAATATTCAGTGCTCCAAAATATATATCAAATTTATTTCTTCATAACATGAGTACAGCATCCACAGATATATGAACAGTAGAGGTGTGGCTAATTCTACTTGTCGCTTTTCTAGGGCAACTGCCTGTCTAAACCCGGGTAAAGAAGGAGGACTGATTATGAGGTCAGTAACCACATCCCGTAGAAAACAACATTGCTTGAAATACACTTAACAGAACGAATAATTTAAACTGTCCTGGTACTTCAAGGGTCTTCAATCAGAAGAATTATGAAACCTCATGGTGAAAGCCGAAATTCTTTGAGAGTCAAGAAAGTTATGACCCTTATAATAACCACAACAACAATTAATATAGGTACATAGAATGTTCGGAAAATGTGGGATACTGGGAGGACCAAATAGATGCGGAAATGAAGAGATACAACATGCTGGTACTCAGAATCAGTCAAACCCATTGAATTCATGCTAGACTGAAAAGATTAGATTCTAGAGAGGTTCTTCTGTACTCTGTTCATGAAGATGCTTCGCACACACAAGCTACAATGATCGTTTCCAAAGAAGCACAGAAAGCACTTAAGGGATTGGGATCGTATGGATCCAAGAATATTAAAGTCTTCTTCATAACAAAGAAGGAGGTAATCACAGCGAATGTTATCCAGTGTTATGCATCCACCAATGATAGTAATGACAACGATAAAGGTCATTTCTATGAAGGGCTGCAATCGCTCATAGAGAAGCGTTCAGGAAAGGACATGACCATCCTGATGGGACATAAACGTCAAACAACAGCACTGGATATGAAGATATCATGGGACGACATGATCTGCCTAGGAGAAAAGAACGAGAATGGAGACAGATTCGCACATTTTTGTACATTCAAAAAGTAATGGGTGGTACTTCATTGCACCATAAACGCATGAGCAAATCTTCATAAGATTCACTGGATCCCATTATGAACAACCAGATCAACCACATTTAAATCAGTACAGTTCATAAGTTTCATGAAAGACATCAGAAGAAAAGGAATAGTTGATCTA